TTAAAATTAACGTCAAAACTTAACGTATAATAAACGAATACTCAAACTACTAATTTTTGAACTTGCTTAACAACAACCGGAAACTGAATCAATACATATTAATACCGAACTTCATACATGAGAGTAACGATAGATTGTAGCTTGAATTCCATTGCGGTATGCGATGTGCCTTTTTTTATCATTGATCTACTTGGTACGAATCATTTAAATATTATATATATATTATTGCAGCATGGCTATGATTGCCACAATTTGATATGTGAAAAACATAATATTATCATTGATTCTCATATGGGAATTCAATCAAAATAAGTTTTGTTTAACTTCCTTCACGTTCGAATCATAGAGTGAGACATCGATGCAACAAAATGAGTAATAGACGGACATATAAAGCAGATTTTTTTATTCCTTGTAAAACTATTCGTCTAGTCAGTGATCGATCATCGGGAACGGTCTTATTAAAGAATAGCTGAGAAAATTGTAATTTTTGACAATAATGGCATTTGTTATATAGGCGAAGCCAGAGGGTCAGCCCCGACGTCGGACCCCCATTTCAAATGTGTATGGAAATCTAAAAACTCCCTAATAAGGCGTGCTATTGATTTTGCAGGGCTAATTTTATTCCCCGAATGTTTTGATCAACTTGAGTTGATAAATACGCGTTATCACCAATATTATATCGGTAAACTATTTTTTTGGGAATATCAAATGTAGCCCTTTGCAAACGAAAGTTTGGTGTCACAGAGACGTCGATAATTGTTTTTTTCCTTACCGGAACTCTGCTTCCGGTGTGATAAACTCGATATTATGCAATCATCGGCCAGGCGACACTAAAATTAATTAAAAGGGTGAATCGGTAACTAAAATTTTCTGACGGAAAATTAGGGAGTGAATGTCAATCCTGAAAATAATGTTATAAAATATTAACATAACTTGTTATTATATTTGATGCAACGAAATATAGTTTTTATCCAAATAAGCATGGATAAAAATATAAATATGCAATATATACTTATTCGCCCAAACAACCACATTTTTTAAGAACGATATTCTCATCAGACTCTAAACTTGAATATAGTTGTATTTGAATATCCAGGAAGTGTCGTATGTACCAGTACAAATGGTCAGTCAAATACATAAAACAGTTGCTTTATCAAATATTATTGGAGTTAAATTTTGCTGGGAAATCTGTAACAGCAAGACAATTTAGGGCAGTGGTTCCCAACCTTTTATGGCTCGTGGCCCCCTTCTGGCGGCTTTTTGCACCCGTGGCCCCCCTGTTCGCAATTTCGAAAAATTAGAAGTGTTGGATTGTTTTGCGACCTTTTATGGAATCCAAAAACAAACCACAGACAAAAAAAAGTCCAAGCTTTTTAGTATACAATCAATGAGAATCTTGCGCTTGGGACTGTCTGACGAGGTTTTTTCTATTAGACACCGTCTTTCACATAGCTTGACGAATGTACTGTCAACATCAAGACGGTCTATAGATTTTGTTTCCTCCGACAGAAACCCGATCTTGGTCAATGTTGCTTTTTTGTCAAATCTAATGTGCTTGGCAGCCAAGGAACCGATGTCAACGTCTTTCACTTGGGAATGATTTTTGTCACGGTGGGTTTGGAGTTTAAATGAACGTAATAATTCATTGCTCATTACATATGAGCAACTCAGGCATTGCGCATATTCTCTCTCATCTCGATTTAACTGTCGTTCTATTTTTGTATTTTAGACATCGGAAATTTACATATGTGTTTTTGCGTGCATAATACGATACTGAAGGTTATCTCTCAGTCTAGTGAAACCGCCCGACTGCAGGTTAGACGGCACTATTAGAACTATTTTGATTGGTAGATTTTATATTTCATTGTGATCAAACAATTCACGCACAGCATATACCCTGTGATCGCAAATAACCTATTCAGGTAATGAAACTGCGGTATTTTAAAGGAGAGTATGCAAACGAAGTCGCTTTATGACCAATTAGCCTTGTGCCGTGGCCCCCCTCGAAGTGCTTCGTGGCCCCCCTGGGAGGCCCCGGCCCCCGGGTGAGAACCACTGGTTTAAGAGGTATGAAGGTTAGGGTTGACATTCCGTCTGGAAAATTCCGGACATGTCCGAAATTTAGGGTTAAATTTTGCGTCCGGGAATAATTTTAAAAAATGCTCAAATGTCCGGAATTTTACTGTATTTGCAATCGTACTGTGCACACTGCTAATACTACGAGGTTGTGTGGAATTATGATGTAACAGAGCGTTTTCCTTATCAATGATGTTTTGTTTACCACTTAGAACTTTCTGATTATTATTCGCTGACTGTTTTACCCGTTTTGTTGAGCAGCAGCTAGTTCCTTGTTAAGTTAGCTGAATACAGAAGTTTTATACCACAAAGCTTTACTTGTGAATTTTTCTATTTGAACAAGAAGCTAGTCAGGAATTCGGGATCGAAAGTGCTAGTCCCTGAAGCCTTTTGGTTCAGTTAGTCTGGTGGTAAATTACTTTGTTTTTTAGAGTATGCATCTTTAGTCGGGTTTTATTTATTGTTAATAAAAAAAGATATTATTTCAGATGGCTAATTTTAAACGAAAGTACACATTCATCACTAACGAGATGCAAGAAAAACATCCATGTTTTATAAAAGGCTGGAATGATTATGAAGCAGAATGCTTGGTTTGTAAATCAGGAACCTATATATCTGTCGTGCACAATGGTAATGCTGATTTAAACACACATCTGCAAAGAGGGGACTGTTGTATCAACGAAAATGACAAATTATTTTGTTACAGCAGGAAGCAAATGCGAAGATGAAATCACTGCCGCAGAAGGCACTCTTGCATTTCACGCTGTTAAGCATCGTCATAGCTTTTTGTCCGTGGACTGTACATCTGTTTTACAAAGATAAGATTTTTCCTCATTCTAATGTAGCGAAGAAGTATAGTAGTGGCCGCACAAGGACAAAAAAAGGTTACTAGCGTACTTAAAAGTTTTGAAGAAAACAATATCGCGTATTTTGGCGTTGCAACAGATGGCAGCAATCACGATGAACTGAAAATATTTCCTACAATCATTCAATATTTGGACTGGAGAAAAGATGGTTTGCAATTAGGATTGATTGAGTTTACAAACAAGGCAAACGAGACTGCCGACACAATTGCCACTTATGTAAAAAAAACCTCAAAAAAATAATGCTTTTGAAAAAATGTGTGGCATGCACAGGAGACAACTGCAAATGCCCTATTGAAGAGAATTAGATCTCCAGAAAAATATGCATGGTCAGAAGAGTAAATTTGTAGTGACTTACAAGCGTGTCGGTAATTTGTTTTGATCATGTAATTGCTGTTCTCCCTTTTCGGCACAACCTAATTCTCATTAATATTTACCACTCTGAGGTTGAGATTTATTTAGAGCTATATTTAGAGAGTGCTTACCCGCCTGGTGTGAGATTTTGCTTGTGACTGAAGACAATAATTTTCATTTCAATAGCTGGCGCTTTAGAATGAGTATCGTACAGCGTTTGCAGCCTTATCATTTCGGTAGAGCATATATATGGTCTCATGAAAATACGGAGCACCTGAAGTATATATGTGCACCAAGATGGTGCACAAGGATTCGCACTTCAGCAGAATGGAGGGTTTAAATATAAAAAGGATAAATTGAATGGCAGCGCCAGAATCTACATACGACACAATACAGTCAAGCTGACATCTATATAAAATAGTTTAAATATCAAAAAACCAAATAATAAGAAACATCTATTGGACAGCATTATTTTACAATTCAATATATATATACATACAATACAGGGTGCCGCATCAGTATGTGATATACCTATATGTTTCTACTTAAACTTGTGATATGCCTTAAAGAAAAATTTTATCAAAAAATTATCTAACCGCGTGCGCTTACAGGTGGACTACCGATAGCTAATTCAGTAATTTTAGGGTAGTTACCGTAATAACATCGTTCGTGAGACTGAATTTTGATTTCTGAAATTAAACTAAAGCTCCACATCAGGCATAATAAAAATTAAGTTATACAACTATTTTTTGGAAACAGAACTAAAAACTGACAAATAACATACAAAACTATAAAAACGAGGCAAAGTTTACAACCCGTCTGTCTGTCCGTACGTCTGTCTGAGCGGCCGCATAAACTGCAATTATTTCTTATTGGGTATGGTTAAGCGTTAAGGTAATAAACAAGGAAATCGATGCTCGGGGAAATCCAAATGTTAAGTACCGGTAATATGCTATTGTTACACACTAAATATTGTTTTTCATATGATTTTAATAATAGACACTAGAATAGACTCAAAAAAAGTTAAACGAAATTCTGAAGCCAAACGAGTTTGAAAAATGGCGAATTTGGCCTTAAAAAAAGCCAATATGGCAACCCTGACTCAGAACGACATGCAGAAAAATTCACGGTTGCCAGAAGAATGGTCGGCATAGACAGCCAATGTGGTTCACTTATATAGATTTTGAAATTCATGGGCGTTGCAAAATATGTATATAATACCAGCAAATAATAATTAGTAACCAATTTTTGTCAAGAAATCAATTAATTCAACTCAATATGAATCTGCTGCGCCTATATAATTGTATAAATGTTACAAAACAAGCACGACTATAAAAAAGAGATATTGCGAAAGAATTTTCCGGAACACAATGTAGTGTCTATAATTAAAATAGGTGAACATTTTTCACACCATGACGGTGGACGCCATTGCACTTGCCTCCTCACGACGACCCTAATATATTTTAATGTAAGCTGTAGCCACTAGCCAGTCCTTTGTCATATCCTTCGCAGGCCTGTTTCATGTCGGTCAACGGTATCACTCGTTTCAACTACTTCATATATTTCTTTTCATTTTTTTAAAGACATGGTAATACTGACCGGGTATGAGGAAATTACTAGTATCAATGTATGACTAAAAATACTTGCATAGCAGCGACACCAATATATACATAGAAGTATTTGTGATTATGCTTCAAATAGTATTTAATCTGAGCCTAGCAACCTTGTCCGCAAATTCCTGCCCATGTATGATTATTAGAAGAACGGATAAAATGTTCATTGACTTCCAAAATCAAATTTCTTTTCCCTCCTGCGATTTGAATCAATTTTGGCTCATTAAACCATGGCTCTGACGAAGAAATAGCAAGGACAAGTACCTATTCATTCAAACAAAGAAAGAGAAAGCGCCTTTGTTAAATGTAAAGAACCGACCTTAGTCATTTTAACTAATACGATGCGGAAAAATATATTGTGATATTCACAAAACAATTTTTTTAAATTAGGTTTTATGATGAATTCTGCCAACAGAGCATAATAAAAAGTGAACTGTCTTGGGAGGATTATGTTTGTACAATTGAAATCATAATCTGGAATTTAGCTATTCTTCCAATATTCAAAAAGTTTTTCGCTAATTTTTTGTCTGCGGCGGCGAAGGCGTTACCATGGGTTAGCATAGCCAAACCTTGCATTAGGATCCCACGAGAAATGACTATAGTCTATTGTCATAAAGTGGAACCACGTAGAATTTTCATATCGATGTGACAGGTTCGGGGTTTTAACTCCATGCAACGAATACGTTTTGATTTTGTGGTATTTTTCTCTGACAAAACAAAACTTACAACAGCCCCGCTTTCTCGTAACTCCCCCGAAGCTTCAGAAACATCATCATCAAATTTTCCTGAAGATATTACAAAAACCAAATCCTGTTCATCCATGCGATTACCAGATTCCTGGTTCATCATGTTATTGACAAGGTACCGAATTGCTTTGCCAGTATTTGATCCTGAATATATATAAACAACGGCATTCAAATTAGTATAACTTTTGAGCTGAGTTGCGCGAGATTATATCTTTCGCTATGCCTCTATGCTAGGGGATCTGTATATATGTGTATACTGCAAAGATGTGGTAGCTGGAATAAACATGACTATTCTATCAAAATGAAGAGTCCAGCTACACACTAACACAAATGTATTTCTGTAACGTTTCGTCTGACCAAAGTCAGACTTCCTCAGACAAGCAGTTTACAACAATCAATTAGTATAGGGAAAATAAATTGTGAGCAAATATATTTATAAATATATTTTCAAAATGATACAATAAAATGAATTCAATTACTTCATGATCCTTACTTATATGATTTTTGTATAAGCTAATATTTTGTTCCCGGATTTTGATTGCTGTATAAGTAAGAAAGAATGTAAGAAAAACATGTATTCACGGATATTTAATTTACATACCATTATATTGCTAAATTACTAACTACATATTAAAACTACATTATACCTTTTCCACCATGAGGCAGTCTATCAAATTTATACCAGAATTCCGATTTTTTATTCAGATAGTCATCCATATGAATAATATTGTCGGTGTCCACATCCTTATTAAATCGCATTGCAGAAATCTTCATTGATTCCGAAGATATGTCGTATTTCCTAAATTCGTTTGTAAAATAATATTATTATATCCAAAACAGTCTTCAATATTTATTTGTATGAAAACGATGTAAGACACAAATGCTCCCACAAAAAGTGTTTCATAACGATCAACTTTTAAACTGATAAATACTGTATTAACAATTTTTGGTTTATATTATGTATTGTAAAAATATATATACTATTTCGTATAGCTGTGGCAATAACAAAATTTATAAAATATTATTTCCAATTGTATTTAGACCGTCATGAGTTAAATGTTCGCACTCCAATACATCCTTGATTAATTTCTTCATTTCAACCCAAGTATTCACTCCAATGTATTCAGAAGATTCCAAAATTATATAAACATCCATATTTATGAACAGATTGCAAGAACCTTGAAAAAGAGATGTTAGCACGTTGCAAATATATTAGAAGTTATTACAGATTCGGTCAATCTAAAAATCAATTCTATAAATGAGTGTTGTTAATGAAAACTTAAATATATATATTGTCGATTCAAAATCATCGATTTTTTTATATGGCGGAACGAGAATATAGCCATAGACAGGTTTTGAAAAATTTACGCTCATCGCGAATCAAAATTTTGCTACTGCATCACCGACAAAACTATTTAAAAATAACAGAGTCATGATTCTCCCAATTAGCATTATATTCAATCCAGACTGATTTGTGAAAATACTCAAAATGTTCCCAACGCTTGGCTTCATTCTGATGGCCGATTCATTGAAACAAGAATTATAGATTATGTATTACTTACGACCACAACATGGAATATTCCCGCTCCATTGTTGGTTCGGTAAGCATCTGATTGTCCTAGTGGGAGATACCGTGTATCCTGGTTTTAAACATTTGAAATGACATACCGAAGTGACCTCATTTGTTTTTGAACAAGTCACAAATTTGTCCGGAACATGCATGTCAATCTCTGGTTTGCAACGATTGACTGTAAATCATATATTCAGTATTACAGTAAAAGATTGTTGGTGAAATTAGATGTGAAATAAAAAAAATATGTTTATCATACACATAAAAGGTTTTTTAGATCACACGGAATGTATAACAAATATACTTACGTTTGCATAAAACCACAGTTGAATTCGACCATTTCAATCCAGATGACGTTTGTAAACATTTGATTTTACTTGATCCAACTAACGAATGATAAGGCTCACATGCAAATGCACATTCAGAACCAACGATGTTGTCATTGCTACAATATATTTTTCCATTCTCTGGAGTTGAAATTGGATAACATCTTGTTTCTTGTTAGTGCGAAAAGATAGACAAAAATAAGTATTGCGATAACAATTATTAAACATAATTCCCGTCACTACCATGATCCTTTTAAAATACTTTCTATCTCAGGTAACTTAAATTTGGCTTTTCAAATTTATATGATTGATGCTGCATTATTTATTATGTGATTATAAGAAAAAAATAAAACAACTAATATAATATGATGTATCGAATTACCTTCGGCATTTTGTTCACATTTTGAAGCTTCTTGACATGCATGAATGATATACAAGCAAATGTAGAGGTATTTTTTCAACTGTTCTTGAAGCATTACTGCTGTTATATGATCAGCATCATTTTTAAAATTATAAACCGTTATATACGACACATTTCCAATGAGTAACTTTCAGTATAACACTCTTGACAATTACAGAATATCAACTCAATTTAACTCTGATTACGTATGCAAACGAACGAGAATAAGTGGAACAGTTTAAAACTAACGGCAAAACTTGACGCATAATAAACGAATACTCAAACTATTAATTTTTGAACTTGCTTAACAGCAACCGGAAACTGGATCAATACATATTCATACCGAACTTCATACATGAGAGTAACGATAGATTGCAGCTTGAATTCCATGGCGGTATGCGATGTGTCTTTTTTTATTATTGATCTACTTGGTACGAATCATTCAAATATTATATATTATTGCAGCATGGCTATGCATGCCACAATTTGATTGGTTATAGGGTATATATGTTCGATCTCATTTTATTATGTGGAAAACATATTATTATCATTGATCTTCAAATAGGAATTCAATCAAAATAAGATTTGTTTAACTTCCTTCACGTTCGAATCATAGAGTGAGACATCGATGCAACAAAATGAGTAATAGACGGACATATGTAACGGACGTGGGAATTTGATTTTTTTATTCCTTGTAAAACTATTCGTCTATAGTCAGTAAGCGATCATCGGGAACGGTCTTATTAGAGAATAGCTGAGGAAATTGTAATTTTTGGCAATAATGGCATTTTTTATATATGTTTGGATCAACATGACGTTCTTAAGTAAACCGTTATCACCAATATTATATCGGTAAACTATATTTTTGGAAATATCAAATGTATCCCTTTGCAAACGAAAGTTTTGTGTCACAGAGACGTCGATAATTGTTTTTTTTCTCTACCGGAACTCTGCTGCCGGTGTGATAAACTCATTCGGCAACGCGACAACGAGACGTGATTTTCTGACTTAAAATGAGGGAGTGAATATCAAGCCTGAAAATGATGTTATAAAACTTGAACATCACTTAATTTGCGGTAAAACACACACCCCAACACGACAGCATGCGGTCGTACGACCGCAGCTTGTACATCCCTGCCCTCGGCATTTCGTTTCATGCTCCCAGCTACGCTACTCTCCAGCCTATCTTGTTGACAAAAATTACAGCATTGATCTCCTGGAAATGAAATACATGGAGTAATCAATTTCAAGATCTTTAATCTTCTGCCTACTGAAGTTAAACCCACTGAATTTTAACAAAAATTGAACTACGACGTCTTTTTCAATTTATATCTTCAAGTTTTCCAATTTTACCTAGATAATAAATAATAGGTTACAATAATAAATTTTATGTTCAAAAATCATGATCAATTATTAACGTAATAGGTGTTAATTGTTTGACTTACGTGTTAACGTTTTCACTTATACCCTATGCCTACTCACTTGGTTTTGTCTTCGGGTCTTCTCTGATTGCTTTCTTGGCTGTTGTCTTTGTCTCATCAACATTTGACAAACTGACATATCGTAACGATGAAACGATCGTGTAACTGTAGTTATAGTCCGGCAGAATCGTGGCCGAAGCTCGTTTTGAAACATAAAGTTTTGTTTTATTGTCAGATGAAATGTCGATGACATGATTAATGATACCCAGGTGGGCGGGGGAGTGGGTGATGTTGAGCAATTTGTTCTAAGTAGATTTTAAGGCGCTACGAAAGTATTCGTGCCAAGATGATCCTAAACCCTAACCTGGTACACATACAATGTTCAGGTTGTGCGCCATCTTGGTACGAATAATAACTACATGAATTAGTTTTGAATTCAAAGTAACATTGAATCTTATTACAATGTCAGAAATTCAATTTTAGCACGATAAAGGATATTTTATTTCACTAATATAAGCCAAGATCCATCGACAGCATCTAGCTTTCTTTTGCACTCTTCAACCAAATTTGTGTTGCCGCGGCCATTTCGTTTCCCTGCTTAAAGCTTCGGGACTTGGGAAATAATCTATTAGTTGAAATGGATTGGAGTATTCGACCTCGTCTTTCGCTCCAAATAAGGCCATGTAAAACCATCCACTGGTATCTAACGATGTGTAACGTTTTTTTTTTTGGAAGAACCGGAACCTTTCAGGTTCAGCATTGACTTTGGCCAAATTAATATATCCTTGTGGAGATATACGGTATGCGAAACAAAAATGTGCACCTGCATGTTATGCCAACATAGCTGAGTCAAACATTTTGATCACTAGTACATCACACACATTTTTCTGAGTGTTTCGGTTGTACATGCGCTGGTAACGCGCAAATGTTTGCCCACATGCATCAAGTTCCACTTGTTTATTGACATATATATAGGTTTTTGACGAGCTTTTGTGTATGATTTCATCTCATAGAATTCGTATGCTGTTTAAAAGAATACTAGTTTCAGCTTTTTCATTCATTCAAACCGCGTGTTGGAAGTAAGTTTTGTAATATATATTGCGTGTTGGTTTTTAACTGGTTCATTGATATCTATCATTTGACATATACTTAAATCGATGATACCAGTAAATCTTTAATACAGAAAGATCAGTATTATCTGCAATAAAAAACAGCAGTACCCACCCAAATGACAGCTTGGGGATGGATAATCATCTTATGTGCTCCATCCCGTGGCGTTTCAACATGAAACCTGCCTCTTACCATTACTAAAATTTACGACTTATATGTTTTTTCTCATTGCACTATTCCAGTATTCCTTTACTGTAGTGGTTACCAACCAGTGTGTCGCGAAAAGATTTCATTTTTGAATTAATTCCAATCCTTCGAATTCCACAAGAATTACCCCACGGCTATTGCTAACAAACAGAAACGACAAATTGGAGGAGTCGTATTCCAGATATTTGGGTATTGTTTTAATTCTCAGTTTTGCATAATGCGCGCCAACACCGTTTTGTAAAATTGAAAATGTCAACTAAGGTAACAAATTATTGTGCGAAATTTTCCCTCAAATTCGACCAAGGAATTATTATTTGACTAGTAGAATTGCCATTATTGCCGGTTTATTGAATTATTATTTAAACTAAAAATAACATTCAGGATTCACGCAATGACTTTGCAGGGTTTTTATTCCCCATTTAATACGAAAACGAAACAGGCACAATAGGAAAGTAAAATAATAAGAAGGTCAACTATCGTCCATATAAATATCCGCATTCCGACGTCAGAAATGATAATATTGTTAGCTTAAAATTGGAACAGTTAATTTACACTTTCATTTATTTCGCCAATACAGAATAGTTCAAGCTTTTCTAGAACCTTGTTGATATCTTTCTTGTCTCCTTCAGAATCAAATTTGAATCCATCATATATATATTTCAATCGCATCAGCGCCAATTATAGCCAATAGAGTTGCAGTACGCAGGATATTGGATTCTTTATCAACTTGCAGGCAATTTTATAGTAGTCCCATGACCTTTCAAGTGGCTTCGAATTTTGAGATAAACTGCAACTTTTAACATTCAATGGCGCTGGAGTAGGAAGATTCATTTCTATTCGATTCTGCAGAAGAGCAATTTTATGTAGGCGTAATTCGTATCCTCGCAATTTCACAAAGAATAGAACCACTTCTGACACCATGTTTCGTTTCTTAATTGCTATATGCTCAGAATAGAAACTCGTATAAAACTGAACTCTGATTATTGAGAACAGCGGCACAACTTGAACAATACAACAAAACAGCGATCATAAACAAACGTCTACAAGTTAACACAACTGTGTATCGACTGGCGAGCCAGACGAGTAGATGAGATGCATTGCGCCGCAACAATTAAGAGTTGTCGCGCTACTCATCATTTGAGTAATCACATTACGTCACACATGTTGTATGTGTATTAAAAATATCCGATATTCGCCAATTCGGTAAAAATATTCGAATTATTCGATTCGATAAAAATATTTTATTTTGCCCATCCTTGTGATCTGTAATCATGTCAGAGATCAGGCGAAACGCGTGGTAGCACAAACACTGATGCAATGAAACCTAATAATAAAACCTTCATTAAATTTAGTAAATTGCACTATTTCACGAAAGCGTGGTGAAACTGACAATTATTTCATATCTCGAACACAGAAACTGTTATTATTCGGATAGTTTCTGCGGTCTGAAAAGTCGAATAAGCGTTTCGACATAGTAAATGCTACGATCTTTACCATCAAATTATGCTCGGGCCTTGCACGAAATTCATAACGTGAAAAGATTTGTTCATCGGTGAAAATCGTTTATAACAACTTTAAACTATTTAGTGTTTTTAGCGATAATAATTAATTGTGGTAATGAAATACGGTTTGTTTGTCTCTTTCATTTCTTTCGCTAGTACCGACAATTACACCGTTGAATGATTTTGGCAATAGGAGAAACATTAAATTGTAACAATAATGAATTACGGTAGGTTGTGCAAAAGTGAGAATACCTGTGATAATAATAGGACTACACCCAGGGAAAGAGAAAAACTAAAGCGTATTTGCGCCACGTATTACCCGTGTGGCCGCGCAACTTTTACAATAATGTGAGGTGCCCCGAAAGTGGGTCTCGTAAACAGTATTGTAAATAAACAGTAATAATATCGGTAACTATTAACCATCCATTTTAAATACAGGATATGTTTTACCTTATCTGATCTTTTATGTTTTTATTATTTTATAACTAAAGGGCTTCAAGTGTAGGAAATTTTCCCGTTTTGTGATAGGTGTGCCGCAAATTTTTAAATAGCTCAATAGTGTGCCGCGACATAAAAAAGATATTCTGATAAAACTGATATTCGATAATATGACGCTCATCTGACATGTTTTTTCAAGTGTATAATAAGATAGGTATAATCTTTTCCACGCAGTTCAGATGGGAATGCGCGAATATATCTAGGAATCGCTAATATTGGTTTGCAATGCGATGAAATCCCATCTTGGCATTCCTGCCTCTCGCAATTGCTCCGTATATTTATAGAAGTTCTGTGCGTGGTTATCAAATGAAGAAAAAATGGGAGTATTTTTCTACTTCGCTACTACTCTCAAATCTTGACGTTTTGTGAAAACTTTCTTCCATTAAACCTTTTTTGAAACATCCCCAACAATCACAATTGATTC